TAATTGGTTCTAAGATATCTAATGGGTAGACATTGCAGTTTTGTTGAAAACATAACTTTTGCGTGACAGATTGTTCATTTACATAAAAAAATCTGCATATTAGCTCTTTTCAAATGCACAAACCAAACAACTAAACAACTTATTCAAACAGGGGCAGAATGGTCATTTATCCAGAAGCAGTTGTTTTCTAGATGCACAAACCAAACACTCAGACAGATTATTCGGATCAGCTGCTGATCAACCGCTTATAAGGATAAGCAGTTTATCTAGATAAGATGGATAAGCTGCAGCTGCCCCAAACAGAAAGTCTTGAGCACGAGAGAAAAGAAATTGCCTTAATTATGGGATCAAGATCCACTAACAAAGAGGAAAGCCCTAAAAAGCCCATAGTTGCCCATGGATTGACATTCAATAGCTAGATGAGCCATAAATATAAAACATCTCTATAAAAAATGAGATAAAACATCATCATTTCATTAAGAGCATTGACCGTGGTTGAACATCAGTTGATTCAATCCCTCCCCTTGAATCATAATCCATTGATGGACTGTGGATGAGGGACAAGGCAGCTAGACAACAGAAAACAACAATGGGAACGTGTAGGACTCTGGCTGCGACGGTGGAGGGCTGGGACAGCGAGGGCAGCGAGGAGGGTAGGCTGGAATGACCATGAAAGCGAGAACAGGGTGGCTAGAAGGTTGTGAGCTGTTGGAAACATCAAGAGGGAGGCCTGGCAGCCAATTCAGAAAAAGGACAGCATGTATGGTGGAATGCATGGGGCTGAAATAGTGATGGCAGCAAACGGGGTTGCCGGAATTGCAGGGAACTTGGGCTGGAATGCAGAAATTACAGAAAGAACAACGTCAGTAACTGTTCTGAATGGTTGCAGCAGGGAACGACGAGCGTGAGCAGTGTGGGAGGATACGAAAGGGGAATGGGGAAGATAAACACTGCCTCGGGAGAGAGACACAGCCGGAGCACCACCAATCCCTCAGAAACAGCCCTTAAAAGAGAAAACGGACGCCGGCGGCTGTCTTGACAAAAATTTGAGCCAAAACTACATAAAATCACAAAAACAATATATTTATAGACTTAGAGTGAATAAGAGTGGACCCTACTCCTAATAGAAGGGATATCCACTCAAAGGAATGGTCGATCGACCCTTCTGAACTGGTCCAAGCTAACCTCGCTCACGCGAGTTCGTGGTACGGTAGTTTTATTGTAGCAATGATCGGAAAAATCCCTCCTAGATCGCTCCCGTGTCAATAAGAAGATTCAAGAAAAAAATAAATAAAAAGATTTAATCGACAAATACTATATAAATTGATCACCAAACCATGAAGTTTATTAGTCATTGTTGGGTTGCACTTTGTCTTTCAAGGGAACACCAAAGCATTGGTTTTTTATTGTGTCCTATACCATTGGAATTGAAAGAAAAAAAAATCTAAATGCTTCCCTAGGAAAATAATAAAAAAATGTATTTTTACTCGCGGTGTTAACAAAATTGTGTAAACCCCTTTAAATAGAATAAAGCCAAACTTTTAAACATCGAGACAACTTTCAATGTAACGGTGGACTTTCATTGGAAATGCCAAAGTTAAGTGTGCTTGCCCTGAAGCACTCCAAGAATGGATAACCTCCTGGGAAGTTACGCCAACGAAACAAAATTATGAGACCGTCTGGCCAAAGCGAGCAAAACCTTGATGGGTGTGAGTTTGGGTCGTCACAAACGATATCAGAGCATTACACAATCGAAAGATGGGAACAAAGTGTCATACAAGTACCACGCTATGGAAGCCACTTCTTGAATCTAAGATGGGACAAAGTGCTACATGGTGGGAGCCACCTTTTGAATTTGTAGGGGCCACCTCTTGGATCCTATATGCTTGGTGGATGATTCTGGTTAAGAAAACTGTCCACGATTAAGTGGAGGAGATTGTGAAAACCCCTTAAATAAAATGAAGCCGAACTCTTCAACATCGAGGCGCCTTTTGGTGTCATGATGAAATTTCATTAGAAATTCCAAAGTTAAGTGTGCTCATTCTGGAGCACTCCTAAGATTGGTGACCCTATGGAAAATTACACCAACTAGGCAGAACTATGACGCGACTAAGCCAAAGAGGACAATGCCTTGATGGGTGAGAGTTTGGATCGTCACAAAAATTAATTTGATCATATTACATTTAAATTCATAATTTTTATAAATAATAAGCCTTCAACAAATGGATTTAGCTATATTTCATAAATCCCTTATAACCCTTAGGACTTTGAGATTACATCATGGTCAAACATGAATGGCCTATTAAAATAAAGTCATCCTCAATCAAGTTGAACTAATAAAATCACCCCCAAACTTCAAAAAATTCAATAAAAAAACTTACAATATATTAAAAATTATAAATTTTGAGGGCCTCATCTTTCATGGTTAAAAGAAGGATAATAGAACCTCTAAAGTGACCACAGGCACATCTCAAGAGGTCAAATTACAAAGATCACCTTGAGATTAAATAATTATAAGATATTCCCTTATGCTTTGTTTAAACAGGCGTTTAGGCTCCATTCCATTCTACAGAAAGCAGAGAAAACATAAATACTTCGTTTAGCTATTCAATTTTTCGAAAAGTTTTTCCCATCACAACGACATTTCTTTTCGTTTTTAATCGCGAATAGGGTGAAGCAGTTTGGAATGCATCTTTTAAAAGAACTTTTCCCAACAGTGAAAGTGCCATCAAACAAGGCCTTAGTGCTGTAAATCATGAAAGTTAAGACATGGGATCCTTCGCCAAATTTTAAGCATCTATACTATTCAAATTTCCTCCACGTGTCCTTTCATAACTATAAAGCTATCTTGACCACTTTGCAAAATAAAGTCATAATGAGCAAGCATGGACAATGCTAAGAAAATTAAATGAAAGAGATCCTAACTGTAGAGAGAAAGCAATTTCTAGCTCTCATAAGACTAGCCATCAAGTAGTACATTGATTGGATTGGGATTGTGCATCCTAGGTATTAAGCACCTAGGTTCCAACAAAAAATTTAGACATACATTTGCGTAAGGCCTTCAAGAATTTATGACATTCAAGCAACCATTCGGACCTCTCTCCATAAGGTTGTAATTCTCACCAAAACCATCAATCCAACATTAAGCTACTAAGATTTTACCAAATTAAATTAATCGGTTCGAAATGAAACTAGTTAGACAACAAATCAACCAGGCCTTTCACAAAAGTTGACGTGGCACATCAAAAGTTGATGTAGCACATGGACGGATGAACCTATGCCTAGATTCATGGCAAAACATAAGTTTAAACTAAATAAAAATCAAACCTATAAAATTGTATTTATTTTACTCCTTGAGCTCATATTTTAATTAAATTTAAGTGGGAATTTTTCTTTTTATAATACTTTTTTTTTTAATTTTGAACTACATATTAGTATTTTATGTTTAACTTGATTTAGTTTTAAATTTTAAATGTATTTCTATAAATAAGATCAAAAAGAATATTATTCTAATGATTTTGTAATCAATTTAAAAGCAACCCCTAATCCCCTTGTTTCGTTCTCTTTCTTTCACATCTCTCATAACTGCCTAATCCATCTCTTAGGGCTTGCTCGGGAACAATTTTGTTTTTTGATTAGGTTTTAATTTTTTCTTTTGTTTTTGAAAATATATTTGTTTAGTATTTTTTTTGCATGTTTTTATTTTTTGTTTTTAAAAATAAATTGGCATGTTTTTGAAAAATAATCAAAATAACTTTTTGGTATTTTAAGTGATTTAAAAACTAATCATATCTTACTCAAATATATCAAGTATGTATTATTTCAAATCAAAATATAAACAAAACAAAATAAAAACAGAAAATAAAAAATAAAAAATAAAAGTGATACCGAACAGACCCTTGGTAAATCAAGATTCCTGTCCTCTCTCCTCTCAAACATGATTCCCTTGGCTTCTATTTCTCTCTTTATTTGAGATTCTTTAACTCCAATCCGTTCCCCCTTTCTCTTCCATCTTGACTTCTACAAAAAACTGAGAAGTGATACCGAACAGACTCTTGGTAAATCTAGATTCTTGTCCTCTCTCCTCTCAAACATGATTCCCTTGGCTTCTATTTCTCTCTTTATTTGAGATTCTTTAACTCCAATCCACTCCCCCTTTCTCTTCCATCTTGACTTCTACAAAAAACTGAGAGACCCCTTCTTCCCTTTCAAAGCTTATCCTCTCTTTAATCCTCAAATATTTAAGGGCTTGAATTTAGGAAAAAGAAAGAAATCAAGTAATTCAAGCGAAAGAGAAATAGGAAAATCAACAAGGAAATTTCAATCCAAAAAGGTCTACACAACCCTCCAATTTCAGACCAATCCGATCAGAAAAATAATTTTACTTGTAATTTCAAACTTAAACTCATTAAACATAAACCACAATCATGTAATAATAAACATAAAAAACAATAATTTAACTTTATAGCCTTATAATAGGCTCGGAAGCAAACAAAATAAAAAACATGAGTGAGGGAATCAGATTCAAGCATACAACAACAACAACAACAACAACAACAACAAAGCCTTAATCCCACTACGTGGGGTCGGCTACATGAATCTTTTTTCTCCAATGCGTCCTATTTAGTGTCATATTTTCATTTAGTTCTAGTAAATTAAGATCATTTTTAATACAATAAGCCCAAGTCTTCCTAGGTCTACCTCTGCTTTCTTAACAAAAGTCGAATTTAAAACATCTACTCTCCTAATCGGATCATCTAATGGTCGACGTTTAATATGACCAAACCATCTAAGACGACTTTCTCTAATTTTGTCTGTCACAGGAGCTACACCAACCCTATCACGAATATATTCATTCCGCATTTTGTCTCTAAATCAGATTCAAGCATATAAAAAAAAATTCCTATGATAATACTCCAGATTGGAAATAATGTGCAACATATTAGCACTAAAATAGTTGCATGAACAACTTATTATGGAAAGTTAGGTCAGAAACTTACATGAATCCAGCCAAGCGGAAATAGTGAACGTTCATCTTGAACATTAAATATCTCTTCCTCATCGGTTGTCTGACACTGCAAAATAATTTATAAACCTTAAAGAAAGAGGGAAAAGCAAACAAAGCTTGTAAGGACATATAAGCATCCTCTTAAGATCTTTTCTCAAGCACAGCAAATAAATCAAGATAATAACACCTAGTATGCACCGAAAAGAATGTAGCAGCTAAAAGCTAGAAAACACAACTTCAGTTTATTCATTGCAATAATCCCCCAAGTAAATGGAGAAAAAATAGCACCGAATCTGTGTTAAATATCTTTCTCGGAGAAAAACAACCATGAAAAGCCTTACCTACAAAAGCATATAGGAGAGAGCCCTAGTTTCGTGCCATTAGAAATGGCTACACAACATGACAAATCAAACGGATATCATTCTGTTTGGTTGCATCATTCCTTGTTAAGCTTTGCTACTGAACCAAGAGGAACTTTCCCACCCAAAACTTGTAATAACCAGTTTTGAGAAATTGGATAAAACATTTTGCAACTTAAAATGTATCCCAAATTTTCACATCCTAATATTACTATCAAAATAATTTTATAAAATTTCTACGCATCAAATCGAGCAATTTGATATATAATACTATATATAAATTAAAAATAGATTGACAGATATAAAAATTAGAAGTTATAAATTTAATTAAATTAATTAACCTTAATTAACCACCCCTAAGCCCGGTTACTGTTCCTAACCAACCTATCCCACGCGATATATTCTTTGGATGGCGTTGAATGGGGTCATCCCTATTCCAGAGCATTCGAACCCTCTCCTCTCATCATCTCGGTTTTGCTCGCACGTCCCTTCCTCGGTCTCAGTCGCGCTCCGCAGAAGCTCCTATGAGGAGCTGCTATTGCAGTTTATAGCCTGCAAACACGAATAGAAAGGGGCGAGCAACCCAGTGAATTCGCACAAGCCGCAGAGTGTCGAATCCTACTTCCCCTCTCCTGATTTCATCTTTCCGCGAGAATAGCGCTCGACTACTGTAGCTCAATTCACAATATAGAGCGCAAATAGAGCAGTCGCGCATGTTAGCGAGCTGCAGACCTCGATTCAGGGGAGAGAGGAGATAATGTCAGGGAGACGCAGACCTCAGTTATGGGGGAGCCGCACACATGTCAAGGGGTCGGTTCGCATATCATGCATATCTCTGGCTTCCATTTTGTGATTTGCCTCGTTTTTCATACATTGTTCGTTTCCAGTAGCTGTCCGAGGAGCAAAACTTGTGTCAGAAGTGTTGTAAGTGGATTGTGAGTTTCTGTAGGGGATTCAACACAAATCAGTGAAGGTGACAGGAGATTTAAAGTGTTAGGAAGAAGAGAGAATAAGTTTTGGCAACTTCGGAGAAGGGCAGATTTGTCGAGAAGCTGTTTAAAGTAAGTTTTGGCAAATCAATGATATTTTGAGTTAAATCACCTTATGAACTAAGATATCTTAAATTTCTAAGTCGTTGAAGATTTTAGGTTGTTACGCGAGACGACAAGTTCGAGTCAAGTGTGTAAAATCTATTCGTAGAACGACTCTATAAATTTCAGGTAAAATAATCTCATGCTAATTTAAAAAGAATAATTCAATTTATGGAAATCACTTGAATCTTAAAGTTTGATATTAAATTTTATAGGTTATTAAGCTCAACATAAAAACATCTTTTAGAAAATCGAACCAAACAGGCCGACGGTCTGACCGATTCGGCCGTAAACCGACAGGTGGTCCGATTCAGGCTGGCTTAAAAACCAGCTGGTTTGACCCCTAAACCAAAAATTATATTTTTTTTTTACAGTTATACCACCGATTTTATGTAATTTAATATCTAATACCTAAATTCTACATTTTACATTTATACTATCCAAATCACTCATATCACAACAAAAACACTACTATTACAAAGAAATTCAATTTACATATATGCCACCCTGCTTTATTTATTTACATATCCAACAACCAAACTCATTTTTTATATCACCAAAATCATCCATGTCATATAGAATATCACTATTTTTAAAAAGTGAAATTCAAGTTTTCATGCAGTTAAAATGACATGTTAAAATTGAATTTTTGGTGTTAGATATTTAAATACATGAGAATTGAGTATTATGTAAATCTTATCTATTGTCATTGTTAAATATATTAATGATTTATTGGGTCATCCAGTTGAACACCGGTTGAACCCAGTTCAACCTTTAAACTTTGAACCTCTCACACTACCAGTTCAATGGCCGGTCTGGTTTTCAAAACCTTGCATAAAAATCATCAAAATCCCCAGCTAGCTGTCAAAGATTAAGATTTTAGCATGACAATTGAGATGATTAATGACATTTCTAAATTTTAGTCATTTTCTTCTTTCAGATTGTATGATTTTGTTGTCATAGTTTAGTTAGATTCTTCATATTGTTAGATTAGAAAAGATAAGCATGACAGAAAATATATACAAAATAGACATGATATGTAAGATAGACATGATAGGAAATGATAGAAAAAGATATGTATGAGATAAGAGATGAATGATAGAGAGTTATGCATGATGAATAGTCACACAACAGAGTAAATATGCATGTTAGTAGATACAAAAGATGACTCGGAATAATATTTGTTATGAATAATGAAATAATTTATATATGAATGCTCGTACGTGCATGTTTAGAGGATTTCACCCTCTAATGGTACAAACAGGGAACATCAGCGTACATGCGAGCATAGAGTTTTTCTACCACTCCAAATAATTGTGATGGTTAATTCACTAACCGCTGTGTCAACATTATAATATTAGCAAGAGGCAAGTAGGTCGGAGCTTACGTCCCCAGACAATTGTGCATTCACATTGCTAACTGCTGTACCGAAGAAATAATATCGGTCAGGAGGCAGGTAAAAGTCTTTCTACATTAGACAATTGCAATGTTTACATCGATAACCACTGTGCTGACGGGAGCCGACGGAGCAATATCGACTAAGGGTGTGTTAAGTTTTGTTCACAGTGATCCTCACAGAGATAAATGTATGTAAAAAGTATAAAACAATGTAAAGAAAAGTAAATGTAGACAGAAAATTGAGTATTTTCATTTAGAAAAATGTCATTGATGCATGCATTAACATATATAAGATTTCTTATAAAAATATAAAAGATTAACATATTTCAATATTTCTGATAGAGAGATTAAAAACCAATATGCGTATTGATTTCTTTTCTTGAGTAACTGTAGTTTAGAAGTGGATTACTCCCGGGTTATATTTAGATAACTCATTATGTTGCTTTAATATTATTTTTAGGTTTCAATAATTTGAATAGAATGAATACAAGAGGAGGAAATGTGTATAGGAGGCGCGCACAACAACTAGAAATGTACATATTTATATTTGTTAATTTAATTATTTTTTTGGTGACTCTTTCATGTATATTTAAATATTAAAATATTAATAACAGAAATAAAATAGCAGATAACTAATTTGCACCATCCGACCATCAGTTCCGACATGGTTAATTTCAAGCCCCAGGTCGGGTCATGACAAAACTGCTACCTATGCATGCCCCATAAGCATGATTAATACCTCAGAGTACTCCAAACATTCCCAATCTAACTGAGACGGAAGCTTCCCCACGGGATACACAATCCCATTTCCATGATATTTTGCGTTCCCGTGAGTTATGTAGATCTCGCGATCCCATATCTACACAATTCCATTTCCGCGAGAACTACTAATTTTCTGATTTCAGCTGTTTTTTTTTTACTTTTTTATTTATTTCCTATTTTTCTTATTACTACATAGGTAGTTTCTATTGTGAGACTATTTCTATATTTTTACTTTCTATTTTCGGAAGTCTTTTGGCTATTTTTATGCAATTTGGAGATGTTTCTCCTAGCCTTTTGTATACAAGTGTTGCAACTTTGAATTTCTTTCAGGTGGTGTGTTTGTAGCCTGATAGGATCAAAGTAGTGATCTCTCACAAATGTTCAAAAACATCATTTGCCTTTTCAAACAGCAGGAAATTGCTGTTCACAGTAGGAAAACTGCGGTTTTCCCTTGACTCACGAAATCAATTTTATAAGTCTTAATTGATGGTCATAATTGAACAAACACAAGCACAAGCAATGAAAGAATAACATTTAAAAGATCTAGCTTTTCTAACTAAAACATCAATTTCCAATAAAATCTAACCCCTAAATGTTCATCGCATACAATAGCAATTTAAGTTCATACAGAAAAGGAATTCAGCACGCTAGACAGGAATTTACAAGAACAGGATTAAACTCAAAAAACACATCAAAGATGTTAAATGTTCTCAAAAAACATATAAGCAGACATGGTTAACGGTGGCAATGATTAGCATGTACAAAAGTAAGATTATGAAGAAATGAAAACATAATAAACAATGTGAAAGTGTTAAATCAACCATAAAAGCGTAACACCAACAAATTGTGTACCTACCTTGCAAATTTCTGTAATAGATTGACAAACAGTGCTTATAGGAATTGCAAACAACACGAATGGTGGCAACAGAATCTCCAAGTATTAAAGAAGGCTTATAAAAAATATAAGGATAAAAGTTACAGTTGGCAAGTTAGAGTACCGAATCAGATGTTGACTCCTGCTTTGGGATTATTAGCGTCGTCACAACAAAAGTACTGTTTTTCTGCAACATTTCCAAAATGTAAGATTAGATTAGTTGGCAAAAAAACCAACTTCTGATGACATTTTGCATCAAGTACTTACTAACAAGCCTGCAAGAACTCCACATGTCTCCAGATTCTTGGTGGTGTTTCTCTCGGCAAGCTTCAAGAAACATTCCAACATCTGCACAGGCTGTCCAATATATATTTCTTAAAACCAAATATTATAATGATGAAGAAACTTACGGAAACCTAACTTGGTATAACGATACAAAATTGTTGTGGCTTGAGAAGCCCTAGAACACAAACTATAAATTCATTTTCTCTCAATGTTCACAATAGAAAGGCAAGGTAATCAATCTTACTACATGTAATTTCTGATATGTCGTAGAATCTCCCTCTTGGGAAAGTTTTGGCAGTCCTGGTCTCGGATCTGCAACTTTTGATGGAGATAATGAATATGGTTCTGACTGAACCTGAGCAAAAACAGGAGGAATAGATGGTTGTCTAATATTCAACTGTAAAGATTCTTCTTTTATAGTATGTGCAGCCAAAGAATCGAATCCTTCTCCTGAAATTGGCCAACCGCCATCATCCAGAGATAGCACGGCGTCCATAGCAGAGTTTCGTCCTTTCAAATAGCTTTCTGGCAAAATGGCAGGGTCGTGAGACTCCTGATTTAACCTATATTTGGTCATAAAAAAATAAAACACCATGAGGTAAGAATACTTGCCAAGTACTTATGAAATACATAAAATAAAGAATAAGTCAAGCATTAATTTTAAAACCAAATAAAACGTGGCCGGACAAAGATAACTAGTGTAATGCCGAATGCCCATTTAATTATATAATCAGTACAAACACAGCTACATCACTTACCCTGGTATTTCACTCTGTGTCAAGTCAACATTGCTGGGATATTGAACCTGTAACCATTATCAGTAAATGATTAATTGGAATTGTATACTTCTCCGGATCAATAACTTGAAGAACAAAAGGATTATACCCTAATACCAGAAATAGGTCCTTTCCACGGGCCTTGGAGCCCATTTGGGCCTAAAATGGAGTGTCTGGATAATGTTTCTTCCTTTGGATGAGGCAAATTAAGTGTCCTGTTAAAAAAAACAGATAAAGTAAAAATTCAAAGTCAATTTATTTGCTTATACAAAAATTTGAGAAACTAACTTTACAAAGAAACATGCTCATTTGCTTTTCACATTGTCGATCAGAATCTCGGAAGAAACAAACTAGGAAAGAAATAGTTTACTCAATAAATACATGAACAAGAATTCTTCAAACCTACAATAAAGAATAAAAGGCTGGCAAGTACAGAATTTTTTTCATGGCAGGGGTGAAAATGGGATTAAAGGGAAAAACATCAAGATTATTGAAACCCTTGCCAAATAATAGAATAGCAAACATACTCTCAGTAAAATAATTTGGAAAATAAAACACCATTGGGTAAGATATTTGGTTTTATACGATCAGACAACCATGTCAGATCTGGTTTTCACATCAATGCAAAAGATCAGAAATGCATCTTCAATGGTTAAAAGTTGGGTGAGTATTGTACAATTTCTTAAATTGCATGTCCATCGGATTCTCATACCGTTTAACCTGATTTCTCTCTAGATTCTGCTTCTGAAATAGTTCAAATGTAAATTGCGCGGGCGGCTGCAATTTAAGAAAAGCAAAACAAAGATAAGAATGTTAAGTAAATAGGCAGTGATAAATGATCTCAAAATATCTCTCCAAACTCAGAAGATAAAATGACTAGTAAACTCATTCAAAGTATGAAAGTCATGAAAACATAGCTTCATATAATATATACATTCAAAAAAAAAAAAAGATTAACAGATTAATGAAATGAAGCCAATATAAAAATAAAAATGGGATTTATTAAGTAAAGAACCTGCATGGAAAAAGAAGTTGAGAAGAGCTGCTTTCTACCATGATCAAAAGAAGCCTTGTCCAATCCAATAGTTTGATGCATACTCCCCTTATTGATTTCATCAACTTGTTGTTGCACAAGTGGCTTCAGAGCTTCAAGCTCATTAATAACATCAAGCAGTTTCTAAGATATGGTAATTGGAATCAATAAGGTATCAATATTTGTGGCAAAAAAGAGCTTGCTTACAAATTCTAAGGAAGAACTTTCACTAGAAATGTTATGAACAGAATAGAGAATGAGTGATCAAACCTTCCTAAAAGCAGATTTTTCTTTCAAAAGCAAGACCTGATAATCTCGATGTGAAGGTATTGTTTCACACATTAAACTGCAAGATCAGTGGCAGTTAGATATCATACTAAGATGAACAAAAATGCACAAATTTATAAAGATAATACAAGAACGTGAGAACAAACTGAACTAATACTTTGAGATGATTAAGAGGGAAAAAAACATAAATATACAAGTACAGACAACTGTAGAGTTTACTTACCTTGAAAATCTAAGGAGTATGATATACAAATCAACCAGATTCTTCTCCTCCCGATATATACTGGCCTGAAAATAAGCACCAGGAAGCCCTATTCAGAATGAAATTATTCAAATTCTTACAGAAATGAAATATAATACTGCCGAATAGGCTATACTAGAAACATTTCCAATTGTCAATCTTACAAAAACCAAGTATTAAGATAAAAAAAGAAGTCAGTTATTCCAAAATTTTGCTGCAAGTAACTAAAATGATGTAGATTGGTGAGAAGAAGGAAGATGAATGGTCAAAAACCAGAAGCAACAGTGCCTTAGGGTAGGAATGGAGAATGAAAAAGGAGAGATGCGAGTTTGATTTTGTCCACATTTAATCAGTCCACAAAAAGATGGAGCATGTTTATTTATGACCAAAGAAACCCTAAAATACTGTAAATTTGGATCCCGAATTAATTTTTCTTGGAAACCAGAATATTTGAAGAGCATCAATCAGCCTGCATTTTGTAAATCTTATTTTGGCCGTGCCTTTGAAATAGAACATTTTCGTTTTTTTGAGAACTATGATTCCAAAATTCCAGCCCAGCAAGTGAACCCTCCATGCTACATCAAGAGCTTTGCGAACACACCGACAAAGTAGGATGCTCATCTACATGAGAGCACAGTGATTTTATTTTGTACAAACTAGTAATAGTAAATGAAGAAATCATCATTACTAAACAAATTATAGATCTCAGATGAAAGACTCGGCCACAATAAGGAACAAACCTAGGATTCATTAAATATTCAAGAACACACATTCGGATTCCAAAAGAACAATGAGAAATTTTGAAGCAAGTACCATCAGTACACTTACACCAAACATGCATAAAAAAGTTTGGATAATATCTGAATTATTTCATCATTTTAAAGTGTCCTTGGACTTATATTTCAGTTTTAGTGCCCGTTTGGGGCAGCTCATTGGTGTGTGGCGGCATTTTTAAAACACCATAGCACCGTTTGAAAAACACGTTCGCCCCGTGTTTTGGAGGCGCACCTAAACGTCGTTCTCATATTCCTTAATAGACGGGGATGCGGGATCGACCCCGTGTCCCGCATCTCCTTCTTGCGTTTGGGTCTATTTTCCTCCAGTGCCCTTCTCTACTCGCCCTCGCCCATTGCTCTTCCTTCTGCTACTTCACAATCGTGGGATCGACACCGCGTCTTCCTTTCGCCGGTCGTTCCTCGTCGTTCCATCCCTCGCTGCTCGTTTGACCTTCCTTCGCCTCATATGAAGTATGTTTTCAACGGAACCCTCACTTTCGCCTAGCTACATGATCCTGTGGAAAAACAGACATCAATAGTTCGAAGCTAGGGTTTTTGTCGCAGTTTGTTACTCGACAGTTCTCTGCTAGTGATAATATGGTCAATCTTGATAAATAGTTAATTATCTTGCCTAAATTTGTGGGTGTTAAATCCTATAATTGAATTTATAAGCCTTAGGCATCAGATTATGCTTGCTACAGGGAATTTATAAGCCTTGTGCATGGAATTTATAGTTCCTTCTCCTCTGTCCCCATCTTTAGTAGTCTTTGTTGGATTCATATGCAAGAAAAAGGAAGGAGTCTACGTTGGATTCCTGGAAATTACCACACAATTCCTATGCATGAAAAAGGAAGGACTCCTCGTTATATAATTTGCACCTCTTACTATTGTACACGACAGTGTTTTGGGCTTTTCAGCTCACTGTTCAGGGTGGTTTGGTGGCATTGATTTGGGCTCTCACCTCTTTTAGAGTATATTTCATATTAACAAATCTTAGTTATAATAGTGGTATTTATTTTTATAATTCATATAGATATATGTTACATAATTCATATAGGTATATATATGGACAATAGCATTTACAATAGTGGTATTTATTTCTATGGCATGTGAAGGTTATGAGCTTAAAATGTTGGTATCTTAAAATGTTTTATAATTCTTATGTATTCACATAGCTAACACCTAAACATTGGTTTACACATTTAATGCTATCATGCTTTGAGAATTATATCAGGAGATCATAAATTTGCATACCTGTGAGGCTTCTAAATAAGGGAGATTTGTTATGTTCATTGTTGTTTTGGTGGTTCATGCCATTTATAAACAATGTTAGCCATTACGAGAGAAGAATGCAATTCTTCCAAAAAGTTCTTAAGTGGAATATGAGACAAGAATGCAACTCGTGTACCATTCATATACAATGGTGAAGCCATTTGCTAATGGTAATATAAAGCCATCAAAACGAGAATATGATATTCTTCTTGAAACAAGAATTTTGTTGCAAAAGCCTTGCAATTACTTTTTCAATGAGGTTAGTGCTTGAAATATCTGTCTTTCTTGTTGTCTATTTTCCTTGCTCTCAAGATAATAAGTAGGAAAAGAAGGATTCTACTCTTGATTGTCATCTTCTTATATAAATTTTAATGTGAAATTGCAAATATTGAGATTCAGCTTTATAGTCCTACATGAACTATTTACAGTTGCTGTTGTACACGACATTGTTTAGGGATTTTCAGCTTATTGTTCAGGGTGGTTTGGTGGCATTGATTTGGGTCTTTTCAACTCTTTTATACAGTATATTTCATATGAAGCAATCTCAGTTATAATAGTGGTCTTTATTTTTATAATGTATATAGATATATATTACATAATTCTTGTCAATGTTAGCTATATTTCATATTTCATATTTATAGTCAATGTTAGCTATTATGAGAGAAGAATGTAAATCTTCCAAAAACGTCTTAACTTGAATATGAGACAAGAATGCAACTCTTGTACTATTCATATACATATGATGAAGTCATTTGCTAATGATAATACGTAGCCATTAAAACGAGATTATGATGTTCTTCTTGAAACAAGAATTTTATTGCAAAAGCTTTTGCCAATATAATACTTGTTGTCTCTTCTCCTTGCTCTCAAGATGCCAAGGGGCAAAAAAAGCATTGTACGTGAACTATTTATACGTTCTGCTCTCCATGGCATTGTTTAGGGCTTTTCAGCCAAGCATTCAGGGTTGTTTGGTGGCTTTGGTTTGAATGTGAACGAGGAACTAATTTCTTTTCTCTTTGCCTATATTACGATTTTTGTATCTAGAACTCTTTAAAAAATTTTACTGTTACTGGCCTGGGTTTTAAAAGCTCCTAAGACAGTATTTTTTATGGTTTGCCTTTATTTGCGACAGTTTGAGAATTCTCGATGCTTGGACTTGAGGTAGTCAAAGTAACTTATGGTTGTGCATAGTGTTTTCTACAGTAAAATGGTGATATGGTATTGCTCACTTTACTTTATAGTTTGTTGATATGGTATTTTTGTCCCTGTGTGCTTTTTGTTCACATTTGTTTCCTTAAAGTAAGAACATGAATTGATTGTTTAGTGTTGATGGTGTTGATTTCACATTTATTTGGCGTTTTGAAATGAGCAAAGGTGCAAACTGTCCGGGATTTTGTCATTTTTCACTTTTTTTTTTCAGTCTTCTCTGAATTTTTATTTTTTACTTAGAATTACTTTGTTCTTATTGTACAATGTTTTAAATGGTTTAACACGATATTGTACGTTAAGTTAATTTGTTTAACTATAAATTCTTCATTTAGTTCCAACATGGCTAAGATGAATGAAGGGGGTCCGTCAGCTATGTGGAATGAGGAAATTACGAATATTTTTTACAATCTCTGTATTAAAGAAATTGAGCTTGGAAGTAAGCCAATCACGTAGTTTAACAAGAAATGTTGGCAAAATATTGCGACAATGTTCAAAGAATTGACGGGAAAAGCTTGCGATAGGCTCAAATTTAAAAATAAATATGATCAATTGAAGAAAAAGTGAAAAATTTGGAAGGAGCTAAAATGTGGATCCACCAGATTGGGTTGGGATACCATTAAGCAAACAATCAATGTTTCAGATGAAAGATGGGTTGAGAAATTAGAGATAATAATTACACTCTCATTTTGTTTATTCTCATAATTTTTTTGTTTAACTAATAAGCCCTCTAAACCCCCTCATCCCATACAATGTTACAGGCAATGTCAGCAGTAAAAAAATATAAGCAGTGCGAAATTAAGTCGGCGTTCAAACATAAACTGGATATAATTTTCAAGGGGGTTGTCGCGACGAGAAATCATGCATTCAACCTAAATGAGTTAGGGTTTGCTGACACACCGATGACTTGCCACCTGAGCAGATTACAGCTGTCGAAGAAGAGTCTAGTATTAACCAGAAAGAGATGAAAAAGTTCAGCTCCCTGTCAAAGAGGCCCAGGCTTGGTAGAAGAAAAAATAATGAAAATTTCGTGAAAAGCTCATTCCATAAACTAATTGATGCTTTTGCAGCTCCGCCACCTTCTGCTCCCCCTGATAGCACCATCATTGACTGTATTGGAGCTTTGGATGCTCTTCCAGAAGTAGTTGTCGATATTTACTTTCATGCAAAATGGGCAAAAAAGACTTGAAGACCCTACCCGTAGGCAAATATTCATGACGCTGCGGCCCGAACTCTACATTGAATACTTGCATGTTTTAGAGGAAGAACGAGTCTTTTTTTATCTCACTAGTTTTTTTTTGGTATTTACTTTTAGACGGCTTTATTTATTCTCTAAAACAAATATATGTAATTCGTTTGTGTGCTTTATAGTCCTTCATATTTTTATTATTTCATTTTGCTCCACTTTTTATTTTATCCTAACATCTGCATTGAATATTTGCATGTTTTAGAGGAAGGAGTCTTTTTTATCTCACTAGTTTTTTTTTTGGTATTTACTTTTAGACGGCTTTATTTATTCTCCAAAACAAATATATGTAATTCGTTTGTGTGCTTTATAGTCCTTCATATTTTTATTATTTCATTTTGCTCCACTATTTATTTTATCCTAACATCTTTTTCCTTTAGGATGGATCCGTAGCAAGAACGTCGTAAGAGAATGACATGGGTTGCAGCTATTACGATATTGTTGTTGGAGTACTGCCGCTCTAGCACTGGTCGAAAACAACACATGACGCCCTCCTTTGTTGGGGATAAATGAGTAGGTGAGATGCTTTCTAGACATCTGATAAGGT